TAGCACATCCATATATAACACTTAGTTGAGAAGGGTTTATAATCTTGACACGGTGCCCTCTGGGTTGCACAGCAAGGCGCATATAATTGCACAGATAAATTTGTTATAATAAATTGACAGTTGCTACATGCCTGTTTGGGTACAGGGCCATAACCTGTTCACTCTGCGTTTGAGAGATGCTCTTATTTGACTAGAATCCAGGATGCTCTGAGTAATCTGTCAGGGTTGTTTTTGCTGTCTGTATGTCAGCTTGGGGGCAAAGATATTACAGTCTTGCACTCTTTATAGACAAGAGCCTAACTTCCCCAATGGGAGTTGCTGCAGATGTGAAGACGGTAAGACATGGATATGTGGAATAAAGTGGTGTGTGCCTAAGAGGTAGGGGTTGGAACTGGCAATTTAGATTCCACTAGGACAACTGTCCAGAAACATGGGCTTGAATCGGCACTAATTAATGACCTTGTGAAACCACAGCTTAGTAATGGACACCAGGAAACAAACTTCCTTTTGTCCGCTTCTCTAAGTAAGTGTATGCGGAAAAAGAATGCAAATTACTGAATGTGTATGTTTGACAACGTCTGTGAAGTGTTGTTAAAACAGGAGCCTCTGTGACTGCTGCTGTGTTTTAATGTGCTCTCTGATGCCACAGGCTTAGAGTATTACAGCCTGTGACACAGGTAGAATTTCCAGCTGGCACAAAAAGAGCCAGATGGGCAGTGGTACCACTACCTGCTTCTCTTCTGTGCCCCACAGCTGCATCCTATGACAAGCGAATTGCACTCTGGGATATTGGGATTCCAGACTGTGACTACAATTTCAAAGCAAGGTAAAGGTTCAAAAACCGGATGTGGCCAGTCCAGGAGCCTGTAACTGTCACTTTGCAGCACCACTTAACTCTTTTTTTCTGTTGTTAGCCAGCTGCTGGTGCTGGAAGCCCTCTCTATTCCCTTACGGATTGCCCTGGTCCCCACCTGCCCTGATCAGTACCTGCTGGCTGGCTGTGAAGAAGGCTGCTTTACCTGGAATATAAAACTGGATAAAGAGCAGAAAAGCAGGTGAGAACCAAAAGCTGGGGGCATACATACATTCACATTCCGTGACAAGCAGCTAGTCCTAGCAATGACTTAATTTCTGTTCGAGGTCTGCTCAAGGAAATCAGCCAGGCTTAGAACATGCGTTTCCCCTCTGTAGCAGCAAGACAATAATACTAGCATAACGCTAAAGATGTGCTCAAAATTAGAAGCCCTGAGCGTTTATTCATGCTCCATTAATACTTCAGGGTTGCAGCCTTCCTTGAGGGAAGGCTGAAATGGGTATAATACAATAACCTAAAACTAAAGGGGGGGGGCCATCATTTCAAATTTGTCTTGAAGGGAGTGTTCATTTTTGGCCCAAATGAACAGTTTTCCTCTTACAGTAGTGCCTGCCCTCGTTCTGGTACATGAGATGATTACACCGCAAACTGGCACGATACCGTGCAGTGTGAGTTGCCACAGCTACACTAGAATAGCACATCCAGTGCTAGGCACCAGGAAAAAATATCACAAGACAGGAACAAGTGAAGTCATGCTGTGCTGTCCTGATGCTCACAAAAATAAAGTTAAAAAAAGGCAATCCCTTAAGCAAATGGAGTCTTGCTATGCTAACCCAGCTAGTGGAAAGCCTAAGCAAGCTCACCTGGGCGTTCATCTGCTCAGTTTGGCAAGAGCCTCAATAGTACAGAGTTTCATTTCCTGGGTCCTGTGTCTAAGTGTCCTTTCAGTGCAGTTATCTGTAGGCTATGTCACTGAGATCTTGCTGCCTCGTGTTCAGGCCTTGTGTAGTATTTCACCCTTCCTCTCCTCTCCAGGCCTTTTGAAGCCATATTTCAATTTCCTGATGATGAGGGGGACATGACAACTTCTCACAGGGTTGACGGTTTGGCATTTTTGAATGATGATGTTGTAGGTGAGTATAAACACAATACTTGGTTCCACACCAAAAAAAAAAAAAAAAAATCAGGCACCTAAGAGTAAGGAAGGCTTGCTGGCTTCAGCCTTCCTTAGAGGGGCTGCTGAATGGGGTTCAGTTACCGCTCCTGTAGGTTGTTGGGGATGGGGGGGGAGGGGGGATGGGGGACATGCAGAACGGAAATGTCTTTCACAGTCCCCTGTTTTTCCACAAGATGTGGGCAAGAGGCACAAACCTCTGTCCAAGCAGGAAAGGTGGACCCTTCTCAGCAAGCCTTCACTTGGCCTAGCACTGCTGAAGTGGAGCAGAGAAGCACCCCTTCCCCCTTAAGGGCTGTTGGCAACACTATTTTACATGGCAGTAGGGTTCCCAAACCTGGGAGGATGCTCAGAGTGCTGGAGAGAAGATGGTCTTTCTGCACTGGAAAGCTTACACTTGTCCAGTGGTTCAGGAACAAAACACAGGACAGATAATCTTCTCTGCAGCCTCAAATTACCCTGAAATAAGGCCTAGGGGGGTGTAATGGTTGCTACTGCTGTCACAGACAAGACAGAACACCTGCGCCTGAGGCTAGCCCTGCGTTTGGGGCATTGTCACCAGCTGATATGGCATCTCGTCTTTCATCCATAGTTTCGAAGAGCTCTAAACCAGGTTGCATATACGTATGGAGCTGGAGTCGGTCTTTTGATGGAAAGGGGAAAGCCTGTCAGCGAACTCTATCGGCAGTTATTCTAGCTGAGCTTGAGTGGTCCACAACTGACATGTCTTACCTCACGCTCAGCACATGCCCAGGTAGGCAGTACCGCTCCTCTGTGCAAGCTACGGCTCTACTACTCACTACAGCAAAGATAGTCAAGACTTACTTTTTACAGTTCTAAACGAAGCAGAATCCCTCCCTCCCCCCCCCCCCCCAATCACACACTGGAGGATCCTGCAGTTAAAGCTAGAGGCCTGGATTTCATAGCCTATCTGAGGGAGAGCCTCCGTTCACCCTCCCTATGAGTAGCAGGAGTCCTGGACTCAGCACTTCACCACTCCAGCACAGCACCAGACAGGCACTAGCTACTTGTTTTGGGGGCGCTCTGCAGCTATATTAGCAGGGCTTGGGTTCAGGTCACTAGAAATGCAGGCATACCCTTTCTCCTAGAAGGGGGAACCATACAGTATTATGCTGACTGTACAGTGTCAGCATAGGTCTTCCTGGTCAGGGTCTTTAAGGCACACAACGAACATGGAGTGATGATATAGCTTTCCTGGAACCATATTACTACTTACTGCACCTAAAACAAGTGGTAAGAGTGCCACACAGAGGGCATCTGGCTAGTAAGATGAACGCAGAATCAACAAACATCATCTGATTTTCACTTTCCAAAGTCAACTCCTCCGTTCCATAGCTGAAACAGCTAAAAGTCAGAAGAGAGTCCCCTAAACATTTATCACTAGCTTTTTTATTTTTTTTTTTTCCCTACTGGAGTAAGATATTGACCTTTAATGAACTAGAGTTTCAGTTCAAGGCTAATTAAGGTTTTTTTTTTTTTGTGCTAGAAAGAATTTTGTTGAAATGCAACCTTCTCTCCTAGAATCTTACAGCGCTGTCTTGAGCGTTACTTTGAAAAGTGCCTCTCAGCTTCTTGGTAGATTTGCGGTTTCTTCTTTTGCTCTTTTTTTTACAGCAAAAGAATATGTGTTCTGTGGTGATGAGAAGGGAAGTGTGTGGATGTACAACCTCTCAAACTACACCACAGCATGGAGTACTGCAAAAGGAAAACGCTCAGATAAGAGAATCCTTCCCACACAGGTAGGTCTCATTTTTCTCTTTGAGACTTAATTGGGCCTCCCTTCCTCCCCTGTGCAGCTGCCCAGACAGGTGACACCTGGCCCGAGTTTCTTAAACAGACTTACACAAGAATCAGCCTATTGTTTTCTCTAACATTCACCTTTGGCTTGTTGTTTTAAAAGCAGTCTTTTCAGAGTGTGACTAAGGCCATCTTTCAAAACTCAAAGGAACGCAATTCTGAAAGGAAAGAAGCATTGTAAAGCAATGCATTTACTCTTGCATTCTGCAGCCTGACAAGAGTCTTCCTAGCAGAAGGCCCCTATAATAAAACTGCTGGTTAACCTGACATCCTGACAAGAGAAGATATCATTTCTGCACCCAGTCAGCCAGTGTGCAGATACTGTTTCACTGACTTGCTGGGGAGAGGGCAACCTCAGCAGCTGTTTGCTGGCAGACCTGTGCCTAGAAAGGGGCTAGCTGCTTCTTCACTGTGAGGGCAACAGAGCACTGGAACAGGTGGCCTAGAGAGGTTGTGGAGTCTCCTTCCTTGGAGATACTCAAAAGCCATCAGGACACAATCTTGGGCAACATGCTCTAGGTGATGCTGCTTGAGCAGGGGTGGGGGGGTTGACTAGGTGACCTCCAGAGGTGCCTTCCAACCTCTACCGCGCTGTGCTTCTGTGATCTGCTTTTGCCACCAGGCATGGACCTGGCCTCTGGGGCTGGTCCTGCCTCGGGCACATAGTCTCCCACTGCATGATGAAGGCATTCAAAGAACAGTAACATAAACATTCACAAAGACTGTTACTCTGGAGCATGGTCTTGAGCTGTAATTAGATAGAGGTATGATGTGATCTAGCAGTCCTCAAACTTTTTTTTTTTTTTTGCAGGAGTATTGCCCAAATCAACAGTCAGTTCTTCCAGGAAGTGAGGGCTAGCTGCTTTTAATTTTGCCTTTCTGTTGAAATCTTTCTGCATTAAACCCTAGTCCTTTTGAAAAGAACATGAGAGAACTAGGTCGATATAGGAACATCATAAAGGTGTATGTCCTGCCATGAAAAAGGGGAAGGACTCTTCCAGTCAGCTTCCCCAGGTCGGTAGAGATGTAGCACTGTGCTGGAAGCAGATTCCACAGCAAACGAATTGTCAAACTAGGACGTGCAGTAGTTAGTATCCTCCAAGTTACAGACGCAATACTGTTCCTTTTGTCTTTGTGTAGAAAGAAAGAAAAAAAACCCACAAAACTCTGTTCTCTTCCTAGATTCTCAAATGGCCAGAGCTTCGAGCAAATGGGGAGCAGCTGACTGAAGTCCTAATAAACAATGTGATAACAGACCCCACCTTCACTTACCTTGTTGCTCTAACTAGTGTGAACATAACAGCCATTTGGAAGAAGTCATAGTTACTTGTAATGGAAAGTTTCATTCCCGTGCTTTGAAATAGTGCAGTATTAGTGACTGTTACCCATGTAACCATATTTTCTAGACCAGCTATTATCATGCAAGAGAAAAAGGGAAGAGTTTGTTACAACTCCTCAAGTCATTGTAAACATCCAGTTTCTTTTACTGTAAGTTTTCACAATTTGTGCATTTGTTTTATAGAACTGACACTTAATAAAACAAAATACCAGTTCAGTTGGCAGTGCAAAGACTTTTTGAAAAACATATATACACACACACATATATATATAGGATTGGGGCTGTGCTAAGAGAGTTCATCCACCCCTATCACTCAGTAACTTCTCACACTGGAAGTACAGTCACTAGGCTAACATATACCCCTGCCAGCAGCCTAGTACAAGTATTTGCCTTATGGTTCCAATTAGAAAAGTAAAAAGTGATTTTAATGAAGTATCCATCAAATCAAACAAGACTTTAATCCTCTTGGCATAGGACCCAAAAAAGCCCCAAACTATTGCGACTACTTTCAAGAATTAAACGACGAGTGGGACAAGTAGAAAATCTTTGCCATGAATGACGGTTCAGATAAAGCATTCAACTAAATAGCCATATCACTCTATACCAGAGGTACAGTCCATTCTAAACATGATAATTTTATTCGATTCCTTCTTGTTTGTCTTTAATGGCAACCTGTAAAACAAACAAAAAAAAAATACAGACACTAAGACAAAAAATATCACCGAGATGGAAGAAGTTATTTTAAACATAGGTATCAGTCTTCTGCGAAGCACAAGAACAACTGCGAAACAGTGGAAATCTCTGCGCCACATGCTAAATAATATTTAAAGTAAAATCAAAACATACTGGCAAAAGAATTCCTAGTGCACTGTTACCTTTTATGAGCATATCAAAGAATATTACACATATACTACGTTATTCAAAGCTCTCCCTGCTTTTGTCTGACATACTTTTCAGCTAGATTAAACCTAAAAAAGATCTGAGGCTAAAAAAATAGAATTGTACATTAGAGCACAATTAACCAAAAAAGTATTAAAAACAAATACTGTCCCTTGAAAGAGTTTTGGCAGAAGGGGGGGGGAAAAAAAAAAGGGGACTTGGAAGAACTAGAGAATTGTTTTCCATTCCAATAAAACTGGGAGAAATCCAATACTGGGCACGTAGCTTTGATGAATTCATTGCCTAAAAATGGCAGCAGTTCTAACATACACTACCCCTTCCATTTAACTTTCAAGCAGGTGAGCTTTCTGCAAGTAATAAATAGAATAAAAGCTAAAGTAAACAAGCTTACCCTGAACCTCTCCTCCAGGAGGGAGAGTTCACTGATCAAGTCTGTGATGGCGTTGGTGAAAGCTTCCTGGGGACTGTAATCCGGCGTGGTCTGAACGCGGATGATGATTTTGTGTTCCAGCGGGTGTGGCACTTTGTAGCCCGCAAACAACACCTGCGGGTCTTTCAGTAGCTGCCTG